TTCACACCCTCTACACACAATTCGATTCTCCCACAGGAAAACGAGGAGTTGCGATCACAAAATGTGGAAGTCGAAGAACCAAGCGAAGCAGGTAACACCTACTTCACGGAACAGAAAGTCCCTTCGTCCAACCAAATTTGAACACTCGGCAGATAGCGAAACATTTGCTAGAAAGGTGTGCCGCGGAAACCAATGGAAACCAACCTGCCGATATTGGTTGTCACCAATCGCCAACCGGCATTGCTGGCAGATTGAATCTCGCCCTTTTCCCTCTCGATAGCTACATGACTACCCGCAAAGTGCCAGCAACCTTCGTTCTTCGTGCAATGTGATGTTTACCCTACAGGGGGGTCGAGTGCTTAGGGGAGAGAACACCTTGGAGCTATGTGCTTGGATGTGAACCTACCTCCGCTAGTTGGGTGGCGATCTGCTGTTTTGAATTGTTGATAATACATTCCTTCTATTGTCCTAGGCCATTTTCTAGTCCTATGGCCAGTACTAGGCTTGCGATTCGTGAGTGGAAGAATATGACGCATAATAATCAGATACCAGAAGAATGTGGCAGGCCAGTAACATAGCAAAGTGTTTCCCATATTGTGCAAAGTAATACGCTATGCACTTCACGTCCACTAAGAAAAAAAATATTCTGCCATTGCTGTGAACAGGCCAAGCCAGCTTTATTGGTGGCATGTGAGTGGAACCATAGGCTATTGATGCAATTATTATTGGCTCTATTGGCTCAAAATTTAATCACTATGTATGTATATATGGAAATCAGCTGTCATGCATTTATATCATCGCGATTCCCACAGCCACACATGTGGTTTCACTGCCCCAGGGGGCCAACCCGACCCCCAGTCTCTCAATCGTCTCAACGAGAACTCTGCTCACAAGGTTTACTCTCAGCGCGGCTACATGCTCCGTATGCACAATAGCGTCAGTGAATGAGTTCCATACAAAACACGAAAGGCTCTTTTCATCCGCACTGTGAATGGCGGACTGAAACAGCTTGTCTCGTGTGACAGCTCCTTTGAGGCAATCAATTTGACTCAGTGAGTCCATGTTCGTACATTGTGAAAGAAATAGAATTGTGAGGTGCGACTTGTAAAACGATTGCGAGTTGCAACAATGATACATCTCAATCCGCCCCTCACTCATCCAGTCTGTCTCTTGCTCCCCCCAGACCGCCCCTCACCCCTGTCAGTCCGCCCCCCACCCCCATCAGATCGCCGTTTACTCCTCTCTGCCCATCCCATTCCGCCCAGGCCTCCACTGCTTAGCCTACTCCCACAATCTGCCACTCACTCTCCTCTCGTCCCGTTTCTACTCCTCAACCTGCCCCTGGCAACCAGAGCATTAACATGATTCATCACAACAAGGAGTGCTGCAAGTGTGACCCGGCTCCCCACAGTGGACAAGCAGCACCATTCCAAACTTTGACAATCTGGCACCGTCACTGAGAATGCCTAGAATGCCAGTTCAGGCATTGAGGCAAGGAGGATGAGAAGCTACTTTCTCAAATTCTTCACTACTGTTGTATTCTAACATAAAATACTTGCTTCTTTTCCATAGGAGTCTTGGATTTTTCATGGGGTTCTTGTCGGTCATGCCATGGAATCCACATATTTAGAGCAAACACAATATTTTCCTGCTACAAGGAGACTTAGCCTTCCTTCTTGCTGTCCCTTTCCATGCAAGGCCAAAGAATAATCACTACCATGCTCCCTATATCCCCTCTTCCACCTGCTGCCTCACCAAGTGGCGCCTTTCAGCATGCCATACAATCTGGAGACCTTAATTCTGATAGACATTACACCGGTTATGTAGTACTCTTCCAGCGACGTTGGTGCAGGAGGCGGTAGGTGTGAAGCAGGTGGTGCAGCGTCCGTCAGATATGGGATTGTGCAGATCTGCCTCATGTGGGTGAGGGTTACGCTCGATCCAGGGCCAGCCATCTGGGTGCTCCAGGAATTCTCAGACATGTACTCAAGTTCTAGAGGCGCGAGATCGATGAGCTTGTCGGAGGAGCCGTTGCAGTCGGGAAGATCGAAGGCGGGAACGTAGACTCCGTTGATTGATCGTGCTATGATATACTTTCACGGTTTGTCGGGGGAGCGAAATGAAGCTCGATGTGACGTGTGATAGGATTGGTGCTGAGAGTGACTCTGCAATCGGAGAGTTGTCCCGTGGACTGTAAGTTGAAACGGCTCGGCTGCTGGGCGGATCGGCTGCTGGGCGGCGCGGCGGCTCGGCGGCTCGGCGGCTCGGCTGGTGGGTGCCTTGGCTGCTGGGCTGCTGGCGGCGTCGAAGGGGCCGATAGAGACGGCGTCGGGGCCGTGAAGGGGCGGCGACGGGGCCGGCAGGGCGGTGATGGGGCCGCTGAGGGCGGCGACAGGGCCGGTAGGGTCGGCAACGGGGCCGTTTAGGGCGGCGACGGGGCTGGTAGGGTCGGCAACGGGGCCGGTAGGGCGGCGACGGGGCCGGTAGGGTCGGCAACGGGGCCGCTTAGGGCGGCGACGGGGCCGCTTAGGGCGGCGACGGGGCCGCAGGGGTCAGCGACGGGGCCGATAGGGCGGCGACGGGGCCGCTGAGGGCGGCGCCGGGGCCGCAAGGGTCGGCGACGGGGCCGATGGGGCGGCGACGGGGCCGCTTAGGGCGGCGACGGGGCCGCAAGGGTCGGTGACGGGGCCGATGGGGCGGCGACGGGGCCGCTTAGGGCGGCGACGGGGCCGCAAGTGTCGGCGACGGGGCTGTATAGGGCGGCGACGGGGCTGTTTAGGGCGGCGACGGGGTCGCAAGGGTCGGCGACGGGGCCGACAGGGTGGCGACGGGGCCGCTTAGGGCGGCGACGGGGCCGCTTAGGGCGGCTACGGGGCCGCGAGGGTCGGCAACGGGGCCGCTCAGAGCGGCGACGGGGCCGCTAGGGTCAGCTACGGGGCCGCTAGGGTCGGCAACGGGGCCGGCAGGGCGACGACGGGGCCGTGAGAGGGGCCACGAGGGGCCGCGAAAGGGGCCGCTAGGGGCCTGAGAAGGGCGCGACGGGCCGCTAAGGGCTAGGACGCGACGGGAGGGAGGGCACACGGGGCGCGACTTGGGCAGGAGAGGAGCGCGCTCCGGGCAGAAAAAAAAGTTTAGTGGTGGGCCCTTAGGAAGCGTTCCCACTAGGGAACCAGCTCTATACCATGTGAGAATCTGAGGAAGGAATGATTGCATTGAGCAGCATGAGGAGTACAAGTAAGAAACCCTAAAGTGTTGTACCCCATATTGACTACCCCACTACAACCTAAACAGACTATAGCATATAAGTTCAACCTTTTCAGGAGCAGGACGCGCCTGTCCACATAAGACTTGCACACGTGCACCACCCTCTAGATGCACTCCACTTCCACCACCGCATATCTTGTTCTCACACGACCGGGAGTCAGCTGCAAGCATGTCATCATCGGGCACGTGCCCTCAGCCTCGTAGTACTTTACGTACACGTGCCGCCCCATGGCGCCGTCCGCCCCCTTCGCGCGGAAGATGCAGAGGCACCTGGCGTACCACTCTTCATTTTCGGGATTGAGCACTGCGATGTCAAAAAACCACCTCTCAGACGGACTGGCCTTCACAAATGTGCCGCGTGGCACAAGCTCACCCCCTCGCGTTCGGGGGATCGCCACGGCTGTGTGCACCTGCGTACACCGGACAACATAGACAGAGGATAGTGGATGCGTTGTGGACGCCATATGGATATTGTGCCCTGCCAAAAACACAGGCAATCCCCATGTTGCCTCAACCATCACCCAGCCCGCGTGTGACCAAAGTCATGCTGCCCTCATGCACCCGGCGAGTGCGTCCATGTCTGACCCATGAGCTTCGCGATACGCCCACATCACCGCATCCAGGTCTTCGTCCACGTGCGCCCTCCGTGACTTCTTCGTCAGCACGGGCTTCAGTGTTTGCACGGCCTGTGTGCACACCACAACATGCACACCTCATGTGAGGACCCGTTGTCTGATGACACTCTCCCTTTCCCTTCATCAGCACATTGTACTTCTGGTACGCACCCCTCACCCTCACCTCGCGCAGCGCCGTCACATACGACTTGTTTCCGCCCGCCTCCGCCGCCACCTCCCGTGCAATCTCGCGCTGCACCTCCTCCTCGACCATACGGCGCGGGATGTCATGCCAGTTGCTGCCACGGACTGGCACATTCACGGTGCCCTTGTGTGTGTGTTCCCAGAGGTTGGTGGATGTCTCGTGCGGCATACCACGTAGTGGTATGCCGTCCATCAGGTGCACGATTTGGTGCAACTTAGGGATGTTCCAATTCGATGTCTGGTCAGGATATGCGGCCTTGATGGCGTCCACCATCCTGCGTGTGCGCATGGGACCCATGCTCAGGCCGGAAAAAACAATCATGTCCAACAAAATAAACATGAATAACGGGGAGGGTATGTACTGCACTGCCATCTCTTGGACGTTGTCCAGAGACGCTTCCGTATGCTTCGTCACGCCCACCAGCGCCTTGCAGAAGCTGGCATACGCCACAAACGCCGCGACCTCCCGTTCCGGTTTCTCCTTCGCCTGGGGCTCGCTCTTCTCCATGTTGTCTGCGATAAGCAAGGGCATCACCTGCATCATCCCCCTATGTTCAAAAGCGGCGTAGTTCGCCCCTGTGCTGAACCATGTGGTTCCCCCCGGGATGCGCACCACACTTGAGCGCGTGTCCTTCTTTTGTTCCTTGCGGCGCCTGCCATGATTGGAAAAGGAGGGTCAGCACAGCCGTGTCACAACCACGATGGTGTCGCCATTCCAATCGCTACCCACCTCTCGAACTCACGCCTCTCCGGCTTGCTCTTCCAAACCATGAAGCATCTGCCCATGCGTGGCAGCATTCCACCGTCCAGGACGAGCTCGAAGGTCCGCCGCGCATGCGAGGAACACGTTTCCCCGCGTGGTCGCTGCAAAGTTCCACCTCTCCAAATAGCATTGCTACATGCAACAACGGCACGCACATGAACGGACGCTGCGTCACCGGGCGCTGTGCTCAATTCCAGAATGAGAGAGCATACCGGCACTGCAGCCCCTCACTTGCACAGGGTGTGTGGACCATCGTTTTTTGTTTTTCACCGCGACCTTGCTGTCGTCAGCCAACTGAATTGCCTCCACCACCCGTCTCTGCAGCTCCACCGTCCGCACCACCGACTTATGAGCCACGTCTGCCAGATGTGTCTCCTTGATGTAGCACGAAGAACACGGCCGATGTGAGCTGTGCAAGCATGAGAACTCAGTCCACCTCTCGCCAGCATCTACCATCATTTTCTGGTGCGAATTTTCCTGCTGCGATTCTCATTTTATTCTCTTCTCCGGCTGCCTTTCCACGGCCTTATATCCATGTTTCGTCGTATCATCGTATGTTGACTCGTGGATTCACATAAGAACACCCAAGCGCTTTGTTTGGTTAAAAATAGCTTCCTCATAAGTAGCCTTATTCAAGGCTGAACTTATACCCCCCTTATGATCACCGTTCGCAGGTCCGCCTCTCGCCGCGCATACCCCTCGCCGTCATCACGCTATCGTCAGCTTCCGCCGCTCGTCCCTCGCAGGAATCGTGCGAGTGACAGTACCTAGAGCCAATCTTAACCGCACATCCGTCACGCGACCTCTCTCGAGGCGTTTGCTGCCCTCAATTCGCGCCTTCATAAACCAACCGGACGCGGCGCGGCCCGGCAGCAAGGCATCCCGGATCGCGGCAACAGATGGGGCTCCGTCCCTAATCGACACGTCCCGACGACAAGCCGCCGCTGCTGCACGTTCTCCTGCCGCCGGTGCTACCTCCGCTTCTGCCACTGCTTCTACCACAGCTGCCGCTGCCGCGGCGCTTGAGGACTCGTTATGGAGTCGCGGCATTCCCGAGGTGTATTCAACGGACGCGCAAATCCTGCGCGGCGAGGTGGAGGGATTCGCGGGGATGAACGAGGAGGGCGACTGGATTCTGCTGCTGCCGTCGGGTCGCAAGCGGCAGTACCTGCGAAAGCGCCGCTCGAAACCTCGAGTTCCTCTCGCCATTGACCCTGTTGACCGCGTTGACGCCGTTGACTCTATTGACGCCCCTCGAAACGCCGCATCCAGCGTCCGTCTGCCGTCAGATGTGTCGCAGATTGAAGGATCTACGCCGTTCGTGGTCAGCAGCGGAAGATCAAATCTGCTGCCTGTTCTCCATCAACTCGCCTCACTCTCCCTCTTTCAATCACCCCGCACCATTCTCCCGCTTTCCATCACCTCGCCCCATTCTCCCTCCTTCCATCACCCCACCCCATTCTCACGCTTTCCGCCACCCTGCCCCATTCCCCCGTTTTCCATCACCCCGCCCCATTCTCCCACTTTCCATCACCCCACCCCATTCTCCCTCCTTCCATTACCCCGCCCCATTCTCGCGCTTTCCATCACCCCGCCCCATTCTGACGCTTTCCATCACCCACCCCATTCTCCCGCTTTCCATCACCTCGCCCCATTTTCCCGCATTCCATCACCCTGACTCATTTTCCCGCTTTCCATTACTCCGCCCCATTCTCCCGCTTTCCATCACCCCGCCCCATTCTCCCGCTTTCCATCACCTCGCCCCATACTCCCGCTTTCCATCACCCCACCCCATTCTCCCTCTTTACATCACCCCGCCCCATTCTCCCTCCTTCCATCACCCTGCCCCATTCTCCCTCTTTGCATCACCCCGCCCCATTGTCCCACTTTCCATCACCCCGCCCCATTCTCCCTCTTTCCATCACCCCGCACCATTCTCCCGGTTTCCATCACCTCGCCCCATTCTCCCTCCTTCCATCACCCCACCCCATTCTCCCGCTTTCCGTCACCCCGCCCCATTCTCCCACTTTCCATCACCCCGCCCCATTCTCCCACTTTCCATCACCCCGCCGCATTCTCCCTCTTTCCATTACCCCGCCCCATTCTCCCGCTTTCCATCACCCCTCCCCATTCTCCCGCTTTCCATCACCTCGCCCCATACTCCCGCTTTCCATCACCCCACCCCATTCTCCCTCTTTACATCACCCCGCCCCATTCTCCCTCCTTCCATCACCCTGCCCCATTCTCCCACTTTCCATCACCCCGCCCCATTCTCCCGCTTTCCATCACCCCGCCCCATTCTCCCGCTTTCCATCACCCCGCCCCATTCTCCCTCTTTCCATCACCCCGCACCATTCTCCCGCTTTCCATCACCTCGCCCCATTCTCCCTCCTTCCATCACCCCACCCCATTCTCCCGCTTTCCGTCACCCCGCCCCATTCTCCCACTTTCCATTACCCCGCCCCATTCTCCCGCTTTCTATCACCCCGCCCCATTCCCCCGCTTTCCATCACCCCACCCCATTCTCTCGCTTTCTATCACCCATCCCATTCTCCCGCTTTCCATCACCTCGCCCCATACTCCCGCTTTCCATCACCCCGCCCCATTCTCCCTCTTTACATCACCCCGCCCTATTCTCCCTCCTTCCATCACCCCGCCCCATTCTCCCGCTTTCCATCACCCCGCCCCATTGTCCCACTTTCCATCACCCCGCCCCATTCTCCCGCTTTCCATCACCTCGCCCCATTCTCCCTCCATCCATCACCCCACCCCATTCTCACGCTTTCCATCACCCTGCCCCATTCCCCCGTTTTCCATCACCCCGCCCCATTCTCCCACTTTCCATCACCCCGCACCATTCTCCCGCTTTCCATCACCTCGCCCCATTCTCCCTCCATCCATCACCCCACCCCATTCTCACGCTTTCCATCACCCTGCCCCATTCCCCCGTTTTCCATCACCCCGCCCCATTCTCCCACATTCCATCACCCCGCCCCATTCTCCCACTTTCCATCACCCCGCCCCATTCTCCCTCTTTCCATTACCCCGCCCCATTCTCCCGCTTTCCATCACCTCGCCCCATTCTCCCTCCTTCCATCACCCCACCCCATTCTCCCACTTTCCATCACCCCGCCCCATTCTCCCACTTTCCATCACCCCGCCCCATTCTCCCACTTTCCATCACCCCACCCCATTCTCCCTCTTTCCATTACCCCGCCCCATTCTCGCGCTTTCCATCACCCCGCCCCATTCTCCCCCTTTCCATCACCCACCCCATTCTCCCGCTTTCCATAACCCCGCCCCATTCTCCCGCATTCCATCACCTGACTCATTTTCCCGCTTTCCATCACTCCGCCCCATTCTCCCGCTTTCCATCACCTCGCCCCATTCTCCCGCTTTCCATCACCCCGCCCCATTCTCCCACTTTCCATCACCCCGCCCCATTCTCCCGCTTTCCATCACCCCGCCCCATTCTCCCGCTTTCCATCACCCCGCCCCATTCTCCCACTTTCCATCACCCCGCCCCATTCTCCCACTTTCCATCACCCCGCCCCATTCTCCCTCTTTCCATTACCCCGCCCCATTCTCCCGCTTTCCATCACCCCGCCCCATTCTCTCGCTTTCCATCACCCATCCCATTCTCCCGCTTTCTATCACCCCGCACCATTCTCCCGCTTTCCATCACCTCGCCCCATTCTCCCTCCTTCCATCACCCCACCCCATTCTCCCGCTTTCCGTCACCCCGCCCCATTCTCCCACTTTCCATCACCCCGCCCCATTCTCCCACTTTCCATCACCCCACCCCATTCTCACTCTTTCCATAACCCCGCCCCATTCTCCCGCTTTCCATCACCCCGCCCCATTCTCCCCCTTTCCATCACCCACCCCATTCTCCCGCATTCCATCACCTGACTCATTTTCCCGCTTTCCATCACTCCGCCCCATTCTCTCGCTTTCCATGACCCCGCCCCATTCTCCCGCTTTCCATCACCCTGCCCCATTCTCCCGCATTCCATCACCCCGCCCCATTCTCCTGCTTTCCATCACCCCGCCCCATTCTCCCGCTTTCCATCACCCCGCCCCATTCTCCCGCTTTCCATCACCCCGCCCCATTCTCCCGCTTTCCATCACCCCGCCCCATTCTCCCGCTTTCCATCACCCCGCCCCATTCTCCCGCTTTCCATCACCCCGCCCCATTCTCCCGCTTTCCATCACCCCGCCCCATTCTCCCGCTTTCCATCACCCCGCCCCATTCTCCCGCTTTCCATTACCCCGCCCAATTCTTCCCATTCTCCCGCTTTCCATCACCCCGGCCGAATCTCCCGCTTTCCATCACCCCGCCCTATTCTCCTGCTTTCCATCACCTCGGTCCATTCTCCCTCCTTCCATCACCCCGCCCCATTCTCCCTCCTTCTATCACCCCGCCCCATTCTCACGCTTTCCATCACCCCGCCCCATTCTCCCACTTTCCATCAACCCTTCCCATTCTCCCGCTTTCCATCACCCCGGCCCATTCTCCCGCTTTCCATCACCTCGCCTCATTCTCCCGCTTTCAATCACCCCACACCATTCTCTCGCTTTCCATCACCTCGCCCCATTCTCCCTCCTTCCATCACCCCACCCCGTTCTCACGCTTTCCGTCACCCTGCCCCATTCCCCCGTTTTCCATCACCCCGCCCCATTCTCCCACTTTCCATCACCCCACCCCATTCTCCCTCCTTCCATTACCCTGCCCCATTCTCGCGCTTTCCATCACCCCGCCCCATTCTCCCGCTTTCCATCACCTCGCCCCATTTTCCCGCATTCCATCACCCCGACTCATTTTCCCGCTTTCCATTAGGAATGTGCTGATACCATACATGCAGCTATGGCAATGCATTGGCGAAATGGTCTCTGCTGCCACAGTAGGCAGCTTGTGTACAGTCAAGCTTGAGCGTTGTGTGTTCGATTGAATCTAGGTGTTAGTAGGTAAGGTTATTTTTGCGAGAGCTTTGTGTGCAACTTGTTTGAAAGGTGGTTGTACTTCGGCTTTTATAACATAGCCATGCACGTAAAGTTTATGGAGTACAAACTTCAAGTACAAACAACATACAAGTTGAGAAGGATGAAAACAAGAAATTAACAATGTGCCAGATGGGATACGTAAAGTTTATTTATTGGGACATCATCTACCAAGCCAGTTGAGATGTGCGGTTGCCAACTGCACCTTGAAATCATGCAAGTAGACAGGCACCCTGGAAAACCAATTATCGCCATTACCAGGCAATACCGCTGCTAACCAAGGCTCACCACGCCAACTGATGCTGGTCTCTTCCCTGCACCCATCACATCATTCGCCAACCAGAAGCACAACACATGTGCCCTCCACATTCGGCACCGGTAGGAACGCTGCGCAGAACATTCATTTTCTGTGATTTTCCTCTCAGCCGATGGTGCCCAGGACCTTCGCACATATAAATTCTGTCACCATGATGGAGCCTGATGTAGAGGACTCTTCTCTAGTTGGCAGGAACTGGGAAATGTCCTAAACGGTAGAGCTCTGCCTTAGCTTTCCAACGAGCCGTCACACACGTCGATCGCCTAAGTACCCGCCGAGATATAGGCGTTCACGTGTTGGGTGGTGCTCTTGAATGCAAGTATAGAAGCTCTCTGGAATTTGTGTTCGAATGTACCTTGTACAAAGAACTCTGGTTTTCAGTATGATGCATGCAATACTACAAAAGCAAACAGATTTATAGTATGCAATCAACATTGAGTCGCACAAGTAACCTCGAACCGCGGTACACTCGCGAATGTTCGAGTAACATTTCGAAGGGGTGAAATTCGAGTCTCAAATTTCACCGTATCGAATTCTCCCTGAGTCTCGATTCTTCTTGTGCTGCCATGTGGCACCGAAATGCAAGTCTCGCGAAGTCAATCTGCAACTTCACGAAACCTGCAGTGAAGTCAAGTAGAAGCAACACATTCGGTGGGTTGGAGGCATACAACCACTGTCAGAACAAAATAGCTTACTTATTTGTGTAGGCTATAGTGGGGTATCCCATAGGGGGTACAACCCAATCAGGGTTTCCTATTTGTACTCACTTCGTTCATAGTCATTTCGTTCTCTCGTTCTATTCTTCTCATGGTATCGAGCAGGTTCCCCTGTGGGAATTGTGCTTAGGGCCCACCACTACTTCGAAATTTTTTTCTACCCGGAGCGCGCTCCGAGCTCTCTCTTTCACTCTCGTGCGCCGCCCTTAGCTGCCCGCGCGCCGCCCGTTCCGGCCCTTAGCCGCCCGCGCGCCGCCCTTTGCAGCCCGCGCGCCGCCCGCCCTAGAGCCCACGCGCCGCCCTACGCAGCCTGCGCGCCGCCCTACGCAGCCCGCGCGCCGCCCTAGAGCCCGCGCGCCGCCCTACACAGCCCGCGCGCCACTCGTCAGGCCACAGGCCGTCCACGTGCCGCCCGTGCGCCGCCCTCAGCCGCCCGACGCGCCGCCCGTGAACCGCCCGTGAGCCACCCGTGAGCCGCCCGTGAGCCGCCCGTGCGCCGCCCTCTGCCGCCCGTGAGCCGCCCGTGCGCCGCCCTCAGCCGCCCGTGAGCCGCCTGTGCGCCGCCCTCAGCCGCGCGTGAGCCGCCCGTGCGCCGCCCTCAGCCGCCCGTGAGCCGCCCGTGCGCCGCCCGACGCGCCGCCCTTCCGCCACCCTTCAGCCGCCCGTGAGCCGCCCGTGAGCCGCTCGTGCGCCGCCCGTGAGCCGCCAGTGAGCCGCCCGTACGCCGCCCGTGAGCCGCCCGTGAGCCGCCCGACAGCGGCCTGTGAGCCGCCCGTGAGCCGCCCTTCAGCCGCCCGTGAGCCGCCCGCGAGCCGCCCGTGAGCCGCCCGTCACGACGCCCGAGCCGCCCGTGCCACCCGCGTCACCCGAGCCGCCTACGCAGCTGAGGAGCCGAGCCGCCCAACCGCCCGAGCTGCAGAGCCGCCCGAGTCGCCTGTGCCGCTGTACGCCCGAGCCGCCCGAGCCGCCCGAGCGGTCTGGGGAGCCGAGCTACTAGTCCTGTGGGGCTGTTGTTGCTCCTGGGCCGGCGGAGTCGCTGTGTTGCCGTGTTGCTGTGCTGCTGAACTGCCCGACCCTTCCTGTCTGGTGAGACTGTCGACTGCTGTCATGGCCACCCCTAGTGTCCTGGCTTTTGACGCTGAGGGTCGCGCCATTGACTTTGCGGCCAGGGTCGACGACCTGCAGCTGTACTTGCAGTGCAATTCGGTAGATGACATTTCTCTCTTTGACTTTGCCTCTGGAGCTGTCCCTGCCCCTCCTGCTGATGCTGACCCCACTGTTCGCTCCAAGTGGGCCACCCGCGATGCTGCTGCACGTCTTGCTGTGCGTCGCCACCTCCCTTCCTCCGAGCGTGCACACTTTAGTCAGTGCAAGAGTGCTCAGGCCTTGTACGACGCTGTAGTTGCGCGCTACTCTTCCCCTTCCTCTGCTACACTGAGCCGCCTCATGCTACCGTACCTCTTCCCTGACCTTGCTGCCTTTCCCACAGTCGCTGACCTCTTTACCCACCTCCGCGCTAGTGACACTCGCTACCGAGCTGCGCTTCCTGCTGACTTCTGCGCCACAAACCCCCCTCCCATGTACATCACCCTCTACTTTCTAGTCACCCGTCTCCCTGAGTCCCTTCGTGTAGTTAGGGACCAGTTTCTCTCTGTCTGTCCCACCACCCTCACCGTCGACCTCCTCGAGAAGTCCCTCCTAGCGGCCGAGAAGAGCATAGTCGCTGTAGGGGCCTCTCGTGGTGACCCTCGCACCCCCATCGTTGAGGGGTGTTCTCCTTCCCCCCTGTTACCCTCTGTCGCCTCTGCTGCTGCGGCCGACCTCGTTGGTCTAGAGTCGGTCGGAGCGGCGTCTGCCCCCAGCGGTAGGCGCCGCTCTGGCAGGGGCAAGGGGGGCAAGGGAGCGGGTGGAGCTAGCGGGGGCGGTGGCGGAGGAGGTGGGGGCAGCGGGGGGAGTGGGGGTGGCGGTGGGGGTGGTAGCGGGGGTGGAGGCACTAGTGGCGGCAGCGGAGGCGGAGGTGGCGGCGGAGGTGGCGGCGGAGGCGGCGGTGGGAGTGGCGGAGGCGGGGGTGGCGGTGGCGGCGGTGGAGGCGGGGGCGGGGGTGGCGGTGGTGGAGGTGGTCGGAGTGGCTCGTCCCAGCGGAGCAGCACTTGGGGTGGTCAGCGCCAGCAGCAGCAGCAGCAGCAGCGTTCTCGCGACGTCCCCACCCCTCAGCAGCTCCGTGAGTGGTACACGCAGCGTCAGCGCGGTGGGGGTTTCGGTCCCTGCACCTACGTTCTTCGCACTGGCGACCACGCTGGAGAGCAGTGTGGGGGTACCCACACCGCCCAGCGCTGCTTTGGCCGCCTGACGGACGCTTGGCGCCAGCAGTTCCCGGAGGCCGCAGAGATCCCCCGCTGGGGAGAGCTGTCTAGGGCTGGTGTCGCTATCTTTGATCTTGATTTTGATGCTATCCTTGCTGCCATGTGTGCTGTGACCATTAGTGATGAGGGTGACTGCTACCGGTGTTTCCCGCCCGACCCGGGCATTGTACTACTGCTCTAGGTGCTTGTGAGGCTACTGCTCTAGGTGCCAGTGCGTCTGTGCTCTCAGGTGCTGGTGAGACTGCTCTCTCAGGTACTAGTGAGTCTGCGCTCTCAGGTACTGTGTCGGCTTCGGCCTCCCACACCTTCACACTTGACTCTGGAGCGTCTCGCTCCTTCTTTCGAAACTGCACCACACTCACGCCGCTTAGTCGGCCGGTTGCGGTGTCCCTGGCTGACCCCTCTGGGGGTCCTGTCCTGTCTCGCTT